CTGGAAGAAATCATCTGCTTCTGAATGTGGCCAAGACCAGAGAGATGGTCATTGATTTCAGGAGGAAGAGGACATCTCCTCCTCTGCCCCTGTGCATTCTAGGAGAGGATGTGGCTGTTGTGGAGGACTACAAATACCTGGGAGTGCACTTAGACAATGGGCTGAACTGGAGGATCAACACTGACGCTGTGTACAAGAAGGGGATGAGCCGACTCTATTTTCTGAGGAAGCTGAGATCCTTCCACGTATGCAGCAAGATGCTGGAGATCTTCTATCAGTCTGTGGTGGCTAGTGCACTCTTCTTTGCTGCGGTCTGCTGGGGGGGCAGCATAAGAGACACTGAACAGGCTGTTGTCCATCATGGATAACCCCACCCATCCTCTCCACCTGCAGCTGGACAGTCAACGCAGCTCCTTCTCCAACAGACTGCTGCAGCTCCCCTGTCACAAGGACAGATACTGGAAAACATTCCTGCCCACTGCAATAACTCTGTACAATAAATCACCTCTGGCTGGAAGAGAACTCTCTGCTCCATAGTTTCTCTAGAAATAAAACCACCTTGTACATTTTACTCTATAATCTGTTCAATATTTATACTCCATATTCCATATATTTTGAATATATATATATATTTGTATATATATATATAATATCTGCATGTATATTTTCTATTTCGACATGTATATTTTCTATTTTATATATATATATTTTTTTTCTATTCTTGTATATTTTGTAGTTTTGTTTTATTGTAAAATGCCTTTTATGCTGCTGTAACAACAACAATTTCCCAATTTGGGATCAATAAAGTACGTACTATCTATCTATCTATAAGGGTCTGTGCTTATTGCTTTACCATTTGTTTTAGATAAGAGGAGATCATGTCGTTTAGCAAATTCCAATTTCCCACTACTTTACTGTGTAATTACCCCATGAAGCATTAGCATTTAAATAGACCATGTGGCTATCTAACAAGAGTCTGCCAGGAGAAAGGGAACCCAAATCTAACGTCTTGGCAACATTCCAACACTTACTGTAAGGCCACTTAATGGAGGGACTATGACTATGGTTAATTAAATTATTATATTTGACGTCTTTACTCTTTATCTGTAGTTTCAACAAAGGATTGCTTTATATGACAGCCCCTCAGGATTTTGTAATGACATCTCTGGTTCTAACCTGCTTAGTCTTTCTATTTTCTTTTCACTTTGTTTCACAGCTGTGTTATTCTGTTTGAAAAGAAAGTGACAGGGGAGACATCCAGAAAAAAACTTGCAGTTATTTATCCTTGATTCAAATTGACAGTTTCATAGGAATCATCTTAAACCCATCACCAGCAAGGCACTCTGTGGTTAGCGCAGTTTTGTTCTCAGTGACAGAAATCCTTGTTGTTGACAGAGTTTTGCTTTGTTTGTGATTATAATTGTGTATCTGTGATCATCTGTAAACATAGTAAGCCCATAAAACATACTGCAGCATCCTCACAGAAACACGGGTTTGTTTTTCTCCATTGGATACAAATGGAATGACTTACATGCATAAATTATGGGATGATGACAGCAAAGTGCAAATCGAAATAGCACCAGTGAGTCACACTTTTCAGGTGCTGATAGAGTTGAGAAGAGGCACGTACAGCCTACCAAGGTAAACAAAAATACAATTGTTACAAATGTAGCACCTAAATGTCAAGCACAGGGGTTTGGAATACACTTTTGACTACTTTTAGACCCTACTTTCTCTTTCGAGGTCATGGAGATATGAGCAATCGGAGGCAAAAGGACCAGTGGACCTGCGAAGGCACAAATCACAAAGCATTAACAATGTGCCAGAGATTGTGCTGACAAGGAGAATCTCCTTCACGGGCTGTAAAGGACAGCGGGCGATGCGTTTATAATGCAGACCCCGGGTCACGGGATTAAAAAGAAGATTGTCTGGCAGAAACCCCAACGGTCCACCACAAGGAGAGCAATCAGCTTGCTGCAATGACATTTCCCCTGGAATTCCAATATAGGAGACAATAGAGATAGGAAATGAGAGCTGTGTGTGTGCAGTGGATGGAGTGGGAGGGAGGGAGGTAGTTACATCTAAGATCAAAGTGTTTCTCAAATGGCTGCAATCTGAAATCTTAAGTCTTAATGTGGTTCATTCCAATCAGAAGGCTCCCAGAAGCCACACAACTTTTTAATATCTTCACTTGACATTTTCTTCTGTAGTTTCATGTAACAAAAAAGCCTCAAGTAGAACCAAATAAACATGTCCTTGCTTGTTTCTCAAACTTGAGGTCATGGTCTTGTTTTTCTGTTTTTCGTCCCACATCAGGTCAATTAATTCCTACTATGGAATCCTGATAATCAGGGAGATTAGTTGTTATTGAAAACTAAGGAGAATATAGGAGGAGCGAACCAGGATGTATGACCTTCCCTAGAGAAGCTCTGAGGTCAGCTGAGAGGAAACACGGAGGTAATTAGTGGCTCAGTGTACAGAATGGTAATGAGGCCTTCTCCCCCCGATAGAGGGTCCGACTGTCAGAAGTCATCCAGCTCTTTTTATCCAAGTCTCCTGTGGGTCAGCCGGTGGAGGCAGGGCGTTCGGCCCTCATTGATTTCTCCTCTCCAATGCACCGGTTTTGAAGATCAATGCAACATGAAGGTATTTGTGTCCTCATTATGCTGTTTGCTCAGCAGATCGATGCAGCTTGGCCTGGCTGACATTAAGTCTGCGTAGAGGAGCATCAGACCTGTAATGGTCATATTTAACGTACTTGAATCCTAGTATAAAGTATAAGAGTGCGACATTATGAGTCAGTGCCCAAGTATCAAAAGTGAAAGTACACTACTTATGCTGAAGCTTGGTTCCCCTAAGGCGGATGTTTGGTCTTCAAAGGTCTTTGTTTGGTTTAATTAGTTCAACAAATATTCCCAGAAGCTTTATACGTCAAATGTTCTTGTGATACTGCAATACAGCTCACTAATGAGAGTGCTAACTAATGGATTCTGTGAGGTTATTTTTAAAAACGTGTTACGAGAAATGTGTAGTAATCACCTCTTTTATAACAAAGGGAAGTTGTAAATATAGTAAAGGACAGAAAACATATTAAGAATGTTCTACTATCGTCAGAAAAGTATTGCCAGAACAAATCTGCAAACAACATTCCTTTTCAAAGTGTAAAACTAAAACAGTACACAGCATAAAACTAAGGAAAATGTTCTTTCCCTGGGTGTCATATTTTGGAAAACATAAAATAAGACATGCCTCACCAAGGCTCTGGTTGCATATTGACTCCAACCACTCAAAGAATAAGTCCTCCACTCCGCCTCTAAGCATTATCCACTAAATTCATCTCACTCTTTCTACCTTTGAGACCACACACACGTGTATCCCAGGATACTAACATGTGGGTAAACCACCCTATTCTACATTACCTCTCTCTCTGGGTTTTCCTATACCTGCCTGATATGAATTACACACGTGCACACACACAGGTCAATCTTCAAAGAGCACTGCATCATCCATCACTGATACAGAGCTCCTATCTCACATCAAATGTCAGAAAGATCCCTCCCATTGTATCTTGTTTCATGTTCATGAGAACATCCAGCCGTAGGTAGGCAGATACAGTTTAACCCTTTCTACAGATCAAGAGACTTCTCCTATAACGCTCAGCTACTTCACTCATGGATGCCTCAGTAAAGACATTTACCCAACTAAAATGAGTGCGATAGATTAGTTGATATTGGATTAAAAACAACCAAACAATCGATGAGGATGAAACTAATAAAGCCTAAACCTGCATACAACGAACAATCAATCCTATGCCGTAGTAAAACTTCACCTTTAAGCGTTATGCAAGGAGGCTTAATCATCTGAACACACATGTCATTGTGGGAGGTCAATACATGAACTATTTCTGAACTACCACAGTTGAAAATGTAACTCTGGAGCTCGCCTATAACTCATCGAGATGAAACCAGCTGTCATACCAAGTCATGATCTGTATGCAGAATTCATAAGCAGCATATGCACGCAAGTACATTATTTAAACTATGGCTATTCAGTCAGAGAAGAGGGTCATGCCTGTGAGTTCTGACAGGATGTTGACATTTTAATGCTAAAATGCCAAGGATGTAGCTTAATGAATGCAGCAATGACATCTGTGTTCACTACTGTACATCCACCATGCTATTCTTCTTAGATGTATTGAGAACAGAAAGCACACGGCTTACTCTCCTCACATTACTCTCTGGGGAAGTGAGCTACATCTTTCCCATGGTGCCCTCTCCGGCGCAGGCTAATGAACATCTCCCAGCCACCCTGCGCTGCTTTGCATCACTTCAAAACTGGACTTTACAGCAAAGGAAACCTTCACAGCTGCTCTCTCTCCCCCCTCAGGGTTTACATGCAAATGGGTGCACTCAGTGAGTTGCCGCTGCAAAATGTTCTACATGGAGCAGACTCAGAGATAGAAATGACCAGCAGTGTATCCAGAGACAGTCACACATTCAACTGCGTATCTGGCATTAACACTGCAGGTGTAACTCAACAAAATGTGTGGAAAAAAACAAAATGTGATTATTTTTGGAAGGGACTGACAGAGCTAGGTTCAGCCAGCATGCATTTGACAATGGTGGAAAGTACATTTACTCAAGTAAAAAATGATGACATATTTTTGGGAATTAAGATATCTGGCAGTAAAAAAAGTCATGAACTCATCCTTTAACCGGAATCATAATGAAAATGATGTTGACATTAATAATTATAATCCAATTATATGATATCCTCACGATGGCAATTCTGCATAGTGAGTACTTTTGGGTACTCAAATATATTTTGATACTAATACTTATCCTAAAGTAAGTTCAGTAAGAAGAGTAATATTTCCACTGTAGTATTGCTTCTTTTTCCTTTACTAAAAGATGTGAGTATCTCTTTCACCTATGAGTCCACTGCAGCCTTATGTCATGTGCTTTACATGTCACCTGACCCCCAGAGTCAGCGGTACTCACCATCCTTGCGGTGGTAGGTGATCTCTACCTTGCGCTCCTCTGATCCCATGAGAGCCTGGGCCACCTGAGCCTGCGAGTGCCGGGTGGTGAACTCTCCATGCAGGAAGTCACAGGTGCACGGCTTCTGCATGACGTCCGCCCTGGAGAAGCCCGTCATCTCGCAGAAGGTGTCATTACAGTAGATGATAGCACAGTTCTGCACCCGGGCATTGGCTATGATGAATTTCTTATCTGAAAAAGGAGAGATGGAGAGAGGGAGAATGAGAATTTGTTCATGGGCAGAATAACAGAAACAAGATGAGTGCAGTGATTCACTGTTAAATATACATGTTCATGTACATTTAAAAGAATGTAAATAGGTGGCTGTTGGAAGCTGGATTATCCCTTCATTATATTGAATATTCCTAAATAACTGTAAGAAATTATTTGCAGTTGATGTCTTTGTACTGGTTTATCATGTGATCAGCAAAGCTTGATTATTGCACTTTATATGATTAGGCTAGCCTTTTCTTAGATTTAAAAAAAAAATTGAAATAATGTGAGGAAAGCCACATGTTTTCCAGTTTTAAAACCAGATTTGTGATGGTTTATTCAATAGGCCTCCAGCTACACAGCACTGCACATTATCTATGAGAAATACATACAGAACCAGAGGATTTATTATGGGCAATTCAGGTTTCAAATGCTTGATCATTATATTTCTCATATGCAGCTTTTTAAACTACACTTTCCACTGGAGCAGGTGAGGTGCTGAGACACAGAGTAGCTGGATAAATCACTTAAAATGACTTTTCATGCATCTCTGACATATAAAAGCATTAACACATAGAATAGGTTCATTGTGTTCTATCTGCATCTTAAGCTTATTGTTATAAAAGCAGGCCTATTAGGCGATTCCCTAACAACCAAATTATTATTATGAGGATGCAGACACAAAAGGCAGGCATCACAGCACACTGGAAACCATGGAGAGGTACTCACTTTGTCCTTCGAATTTGCGAATTATTACTCCCAAAAACGTGTTTTGTGGCGCAACATGACCCCTCCTGACAGGCATGGTTCCCCCTCCAATAAATATGATGATAAAAAAATCTTCCAAGCCGGTCCCCCAAAACGCCTTCCGTCAAGTTCTAGCGGAAGACAACCCAAGCCAGAGGGGCTCCCCGTTTTCTTTGTCACCAGTCAGTCATCCTCGCAAGAATATCGCCCTCTCTCTCTTTTTGTTTAAGACCCCCCGTGTTTCCCTTATTTCAACTCCGACGCGTGCCCGCTTGAGCGCATCGCAGAGGCTTCCCTGCGCTCCTCGCCGATGGAAAGAAAGGAGTCGGTAGACCGCAGTTTCTCCAACATCTCACCGTCGCTCCTCGAAAGCACTGTGCGCGCTGTGCGTCTGTGTTGTTACGGAGGGAGGTCTCTGAAGCCAATGGCTGAGGCTGACACACCGGAGAGCAACACCGACACTGCGAAGGGGAGAAACCCACATGGATGCGTAGACAAAGCAGCAGACAGAGAGATAGTAGAGGCAGGGCTAGCTGGTAACGCACAGTAACGAATTACAGTAACGCGTTACAGCCGGAGCGTACAACTCGCTATTTTACGCATCCTTATAGGCAGCAGATAAACACTTTGTTATTACCCATTTTCGTTTAATTCATTATATTTTAAGTTGAATTGTTTTCCTGTTGCGGACATAATTCAGCATTACATGTGGTTTAACATACTGAAAATACTACATTACAAGTCCTAAATTAAAATGTTACTTAAGTAGGAATATAGAAGTAGGCCTATTGCCAGCTTAATGAAGGCTACTTAAAGTAACAAAAGTAAGTAATTCAAATAAACCCCACATTTACCAAGGGCAACATTGAAGGGAAGCACACATTAATGCATCAATAATTATAATAACTTAAATGGGCCATTCTGCATAACGAGTACTTCATATTTTGAAGTAAATTTTTTAATGCAGGACTTTTACTTATAACAGAGTATTTGTACATTGTAGGCTACTACAGTACTGACACTGTCATGTCACAGCGAGTGAAATTTAGAAGGCGTTACTTACTATATTAGCCCTAAGGACGCTACTTTAGCATTAGCTTAGTGAGTGCTAGCTAGCTTAATTTACCTGCTCAAGCTAACGTCTTACGTACTTATATGACGCAAAGAAGCAGCGTAAGTTAACAAAAAGGCTACAAAACACCTCGACGAGTATCTAAGTAGTACTGTAGACACTAATGAGTGTTTACTTCTGGAGCAGCTATGACTTATCTCAGAGTCACTTGTTGCGAGGGGTAGAGGTGTGTCGCCCTATACGTCGCCTCGTGAGGTTCCATGTAGTCCTCCTCCTTTCCTCTTTCCACTCAGTTTATGCTCTTCTGTCTCAAAGTGAGTCAGGAGCTGGCCATGGTGCTGCCGAGGGATTTGACTTCACATCCCATTCGTGGTGTCAGTACAGCAGACACTTTATGCATTTTTTTTACATTTTTTGGCATTTTCAAAACGTTTTTTTCATCATCATTGTTATTCATAGTACCACAAAAAGTTACTTAGAATTTGAATACAGAAAGTACTCTACCTCTTTTATTATTCTTCATTGCTCTGTCCTCTCAGATGTAAATTATTTCCCCCCATGTGTCTCTTGTCTCACTCAAAGCCATGCACACAAACACCCGGGGTGAAACATCTGTCCTGGTCTTATATTAGCTCTCAGTCCATATGGTCCATTCAGAAACCGACTAAATATACACAGACAAACAGAGTTTAGAGAGAAGCTGACATATGCTGCATTTACAACCTTTTATTTGAACACTGACTAGATTCCATGTGAAGTTAGCCTTTGTTCAACACCTTTCTCTTTGTCGCGCACAGACAGCTTGCTTTGGATGTTTTAGTTTTCCCCTGCGGCGTGTGGCCTATAGTCTCAGATTTACAGCATTTATTAGTACTAATCTACATTTTGTTGCCCACATCCAATTTGTCAACACAGTTAATGATATTGTAATCCACACAAATCTTTTTTGTCTTTCATTTCCCCTTCTCTGTCGCTGTCGCACAACAAGCACGACTCACTGATTCAAAGCTGCGGAACAGTAAAGGGTAGGCCTGCCCTTGAGTCATATTCACATTAAAAGGAGTGACAACATTAATTAATTGTATTTTAGCTCATAATACGCTCACTGAAAGGACATGCTGGTGGTGACAAACACTATTTCAACAGAGAGAACAACATAATCCTTATGGATTAGCTCCTGCACAGCATAGTAGAAAAGCAGGAATTCCAGATGGGTGGAAGTATTGGGAGATGCTCTAGATTACATGTGTCAAACTCAAGGCCCGGGGGCCAAATCAGGCACTTGGTGGATTTAATTTCGGCCTGCAGGATAATTTTAAATTACTAGATCTGGCCCGCCGGTATATTGCTCTCACACCTTCACTCAATCCTGAGGATTTCCTCAGCTCAGAGCCTGACCCCAAACATTGATGACCTTGCACCCAAGATGAGATGCCAAGTATCTGGCTTGAACTAGCATCACAGAGCAGCAAACTGAGTTTCAATGGATGTTTCCTTCTGCACCTTTTTCTTGAGACAACAGGGCATGTTTGTTTTTTTCTTTGAGGGAAATTGTTTTTTTGAAGCTGTTGTTGGCCTGTGGAAAAATGTAATCATAAGAAATGACTCCGGAAAAGCTGCAGATAGAGCCATAAGAAATTAATGCAACTGATTATTTAATGTTTAATGTTGTTTTTATAGGCAATAATTTAAGCTTTGTTAGTTCCAGGTTTAATATGTGCAATAAGTTCATTTCAATAAGTTTTGCAATAAACATTGAACCAGTCCGGCCCTCGACTAGTACCGATTTTTTTATTTTGGCCCACTGTGTATTTGAGTTTGACACCCCTGCTCTAGATCCACCAGCAGGTAAATGTATTCACTAACTTATCAAGTAAAACCAAAAGGAATGCCCACGTGACCACACATTTGGTAAGTGGCATTACTTCAAGACTGAATTACATAACAAGTAAGTAAATGTTCACTCCTGGTACAAGAGGTACGAACATAGGTCTCCTATGTGAATATATATATGACTTACATTAAATATACATAACATTACATATTCATGATTACGCTGAAACCCCATCAATAACAGGCCACAGTGCAGGACTTGCTACGTGAAGTTCTGGAAACAAGCCTCATGAAAAGGTCTGGTTCTGAGATAAGAACAACACATGTTTCAACATTACAACTCAAAATGTGAGGATATTTCTGAGAAGTGACAAAAACACTTTCCATGTGATTCTTGAACATCTCTTACCAGATGCCATTGGCACGGTGGCTCAGTGCTTTTATGGGAACCAATAGTTATAAATAGATGAATCTGTATTTACTTTCCATTTATCTGGAACATCACTTATCTGCCCTTTATGAGACTCCATCTTCCCGACCGGGTTTAATCAGTCACGGTAGGAGAAGGAAATGAAGTTTCATCCCTACACTGCAGTTAAGGGTGTAATGAATAATTAAATGGAAATTAAACAATACAAGAGGGATGTGGGTTTTAGTGATAACACACGAGGGGATTCTGAAGTAAAGCTAGAGGGTCTGAGGATATTCCAGAAGACATATTTACTGTGGTTATGAGGTCAGCTGTATTCCATTAAGTGCTACCAAGAGATACATTTCTGTCAGGCTGATATATTAAGACCCTTTGCCTCATGGGAAATATTGTCTGTCAGGAGAGAACTATTTTATGATCAAATAATTGTATCCAGTGATTGATCTTTACAACTATCATAACAGAGTCTCATTTAAAGACACTGCATGTACACAAAACAAGTTGTTGTCGAAGCCTAGTGACTAAGGGACTGTTAGAATGAGTTGAATTGGCTTCTGAACGGGGCAAAAACTTTTCTAAAGCGATGCCCTGGTTTGAGCAAGGATGGATGGGATTCTCTGGGCTTTGGTAGCCCATGTTGAAAAAGGATAGAGCTAAAACAGCCCCCTTTATAATTGGTGCTGAGTCAGCAGGTGAGTGATTACAACTCTGCCTTATGGGATCATCAGCATCATTATGATGTATCCGAGAAAGGAAAAAATGGTTATTACTGTAACGGCAACCTTGCCCTGGGCCCGTCTAATTAGAAAGACTAATGCCGAACACCGCGAGCCCCCGACAGGCTGTCACTCATGCAGCCAAAAGGTCCAGATTCAGCATCGCATGTGGCGGAGAGGTGCAGCCACGCAGAAGGTGTAAGTGACGAGGATGGGGGCTCTATCTTTAATCTGGGTTCAAGACCCCTTGACAGCAAACATCCATCCTGCTGAATTACCCCAGATCAAGAGCAGACTCTGAATTCCCGCCTGCTTCTCAGCAAATGAAAAGTTCCGGTCTCAATCTACAATATCACATTATTTCCCGCTTGCAATGTCAGCTATAAATCATCAAAAAAAAAGCTTTGTCTTGCAGAATCTCGCTGTCAAATAGCCCCGGTCCTCTAAATGTGACACAGGATTTAAAGGTTAGGACTTTACAAGGGGTTTATTCTCCAGATTTTGAGAGTGCATGAAAGCTAACATGGTTAATTACATTGGCTGCCAACAAACAGGCAGTGATTTCCCCCGGTGGTTGTAAAGGATCTCTATTACTATGAAGCATTTTCTCTGACCTCAGCCCATGAGAGGCTCAGTGTACTGTAGCCTGTGCAGCAGACTGGCTGGCTGAATACTTTTTGGGGAAACAAACATAATGCATAAAGGATGATATATGAGCAAGTATGACGACTACAAAATGTAGATGATGGTGCTATCGATGCTGTATTGGTGGTCATTAAATCTATGATAATGATTAAAGTGTTGATTCTAATACGCATACTCATTATTACAATATTGTGAAGCTTGGCAATAATACTTTTTCCTGATGGTGATAATGCTAAATCAGTAGCATCACTAAGGGTATTCCCATGCTATCAGTGTGTTCCATATTGACGCAGTAAATTCCCCCTCGTCCTGTATTTGCCTTCAGAATCCTTTGCTGCTGTGAGTGTTTTTGAAAGGAGAATATCCCCCCTATAAGCCAGACTCTATCAGCTTGGTTAGTCCATTCATTTTGAACTTAATCTGTTCAGTATGTGTAGCAATATAGATCGGTCAGCCAGGCCTTGGCCCCCTAATCCACGGTTCACTCCGGGGTAAATGGCACCCAGGAATGACCCTGTGTCTCTATCCTCCCTCTGTATATTTCTGCCTCTTCTTGTTTTTTTTGGCCCTTGATCTCTGCTCTGGCTGTGAGCAAGAAAATGACAAAGCTGACAGAAGAATCACAGCTGAATGATGACAAAGTCTACACAAATTAGGTATACAGAGTTTGAGATCTGACAATGCTGTTTGTCAGACTTGTTTTTTCGCTGCAGTGCCCCATCCAACTTTGTCCCAGACTTTACCCACAGCTGGCCCCTTCCACAGATAAATG